AATGGACATGGACTTGAGCAAACTCCGAGTGATAGTGAAGGATACAGAAGCCTGGCATGCTGGAGTCCACGGGGCTGCAAAGAGGCAGACATGACCTAGCGACTGAGCAGAGCAGAAAGTTCAAGCCTGCGTGCTTGCTAAGTCACTTCGGTCATGTCTGACTCTTTGGGACCCCGTGGGTTCTAGCCCTCCAGGCTCCTCCGTCCATGGGATTCTCCAGGCAAGAACACTGGAGTGGGTTTCCATGCCCTCCTCCCAAGCCTGGGTAAGAACAGAGAACTCATGCTTCTCTTTTAAGATGGTGGAGTAGAAGGATATGTGCTCTTCTCCTCCTGAGAGAGCACCAAAACTGCAGCTCGCTGTTAAACAACCATTGACAGGAAGATGCTGGAGCTCACCAAAAATAGATACCTCTTGTCCAAAGACAAACAAGAAACCACAATGAGGCAGGAAAATCAAAACATGGTAAAGTCAAATGCCATACCAGCCAGGAGCGTGAACCACAACCTGGAGAAGAATAATTCCAAAGACGTTCTCCCACTGGTGTGAAGGTTGAGAGCCCCACATCAGGTTTCCCAGTCTGGGAATCTGGCACAGGGACTGGAATCCTCAGTGAATCTGCCATTGACCACCAGTGGGATTTGATTACAAGCTTTCCAGAGCACTGGGGAAAACAAAGATGCCACTCTTGGAGGGCACAGACAAAATTGTGCAAGCCCTAAGGCTCATGGGAAAGGAGTTGTGACAGCACAAGAGACTGAAGCAGACAGACCTACCTGCTAGTGTTGCAGATGTGGGTTGGCAGTGGCTCACTGCAGGGACAGGGGTGCTGGCAACAGCAGTCCTGGAAGCTTCCCTTTGGCATAAGCTCTCTTGGAGGTTGCCATTACCTCTACCATAGAGCCCAAAGAGCCTCAGGGCTGGGTCGCCTTAGGCCAAACATCTAACAGGGAGGAAGCACAGCCCCACTCATCAGCAGATAGTTCGAGTTTTACTGTGCACAGACCTGCCCACCAGAGCAAGAATGAAGTTTTCACACTACCAGTCCCTCCCATCAGGAAGCTTACACAAGCCTCGTAACCTCATCTACCTGAGGGAAGGCAGAAGAAGCAAGGAGAACCACAATCCCACAGCAGCAAGGAGAACCACAATCCCACAGCAGCCCAAACAGCAACTGCATTACAGAAAGTTAATCAGAACGAGTGATTGACTAGCAACAATGCCTAAATCCTGGTATCTGCTCAGTCACTCAGTTGGGTCCGACTCTTTTGGGATCCCTCAGACTGCGGCACGCCAGGCTTCTGTGTACTTCACCATCTCCCGGAGTTTGCTCAAACCCATGTCCATTGAGTCGGTGATGCCATCCAACCATCTCGTCCTCTGTTGTCCCCTTCTCCTCCTGCCTTCCGTCTTTCCCAGCATCTGAGGGTTTTCCAGTGAGTCGGCTCTTGGCAGCAGGTGGCCAAAGTATTGCAGTGACAGCATCAGTCCTTCCAGTGAAGATTCAGGGTCGATTTCCTTTAGGATGGACTGGTTGGGTCTCCATGCAGTCCAACGGACTCTCAGGACCCTTCTCCAACACCACAGTTCAAAAGCATCAGTTCTTCAGTGCTCAGCTTTCTTTATGGTCCAATTCTGACATCCACACGTTATTACTGGAAAAACCATAGCTTTGGCATAGACGAGTCGTTTTCAGCAAAGTAATGTCTCTGCTTTTTAATAGGCTGTCTAGGTTGGTCATAGCTGTTCTTCCAAGGAGCAAGTGGTTTTCAATTTCATGGCTGCAGTCACTGCCTGCAGTGATTTTGGAGCCCTAGAAAATAAAGACTGCCATTGTTTCCCTAGTTTCCCCAACTATTTGCTATGAAGGGTCAGAACTGGATGCCATGGTCTACCTTTTTTTGAATATTGAGTTTTTTTTTTTTAATATTTGAATTTTGGATTTATGCAGGCTTCTGCACACTCCTCTTTCACCTTCATCATGAGGCTCTTTTGGTTCCTCTTTGCTTTCTGCCATAAGGGAGGTGTCATCTGCCTATTGGAGGTTATTGATAACTCTCCTAGCAATCTTGTGCCCAGCTTGCACTTCATCCAGCTCAACAGTTTGCATGGTGTACTCTGCATATGAGTTTAATAGACAGAGTGACACTATACAGCCTTGACGTACACCTTTGCCAATGTTGAGCCGGTTCTATCTTCCAAGCCATGTTCTAACTGTTGCATCTTGACCTGCATACAGGTTTCTCATGAGGCAGGTAAGACGGTGTGCTATTCCTGTCTCTTTAAGAATTTTCCACAGGTTGGTGTGATCCACATGGTCAAAGGCTTTACTGTAGTCAATAAAACAGAAGTAGAAATTTTCCTGGAACTTTTCTCAATCCTGGAGCAGTTGGGAATCAGCAGAACGTTCCTGCTGCCAGTTAAATATAGTCACCCCTAGTTACACATGAATTACTCTGTGACAAGCCTCTGCACCCTTCAGGTCTCCCCTGCTCCACCCTCAGACAGCAATCATCAGGTCAACTTCTGTTAGCAGATCCTGTTAGAAACCTTTTTGAGCAGGGAAATGTCAAGAATCCTTAGTCTGGCCCTGTATGTCCTCCATTCCCACAAAGTGAAGTCTCCAGGGCCAGGCTGACCCATCCACTGCCTCCTGAGCAGGGAGAAGCCTCACCTCACTCAGCAGGGAGAAGCCTATGAACCGACCCTGTACCTATGGACGATATTTCCCTGCCCCGTATCCGTGTCTGTTACTTGGCATAAAGAGATATCCTGGATGGACCTGAGTTCATTCCTAATCAGAGCAGGTTTAGTCTCACTTCAAGTCTTCCCCTTTTCTCACTGGGCTCTGCGCATCAGTATAAAATCGTATGCTTGGTGATTTTGGGTGCCCTCTGCTAGTCTCTGAAGATATCAGTTGGTATCCTGGGAAGTGCACTGGGCTAGGAATCTGGGTGGACAACCTCTAGCTGTATGTTGACATGACTTTATCAAATCAGAGTTTGGCAGTGATTGCTAGGTAGAATGTTAAATTCAAGTGTCTGCCTCACCTGTGTTTCCTCTCACATCCTGCACTAACTCCCCCAGAGCCCTCACTCCATGGTGTAGCCACTGTCAGTTTTCTCTCAGCTTTCTCTCTACTAGGTTGTGGGCTCCTGGAGATAAGGAGCCATCTTCTTCCTTATGATGCAGTTCCTAGTACCTGGCAGAGTATCCGGCACAGGAGGGTACTCAAATATTCTCTGAATGAAGGATCTCTACTGTTTCTGTGTGAATGGATTTGGATATCCAGCCACAATGAGTGAGTGAATACTCCCTCTCCAAATACATTAGGTTAGCTTTTAATTTGGAGTAAAATGCCTCAGCATGTAAATGAGAAAAGTATTTGAATCTTGCTACTTATAATCCAATTTCCTTAATCTTTAGCATGAGGGTTTAATGACCTCTTTTGGCTTCAAGTATCTATGGGTCTTTTCCCCCACCTGCAAACCCAACTCCTGCCTCCCATCCATCAATCCCACCACATGTTCAAGTGAAGACCAGGATAGGAATGACACTCCCAATCAGAGCTTCTCTGTTTCAAGGGATTGAGGTGGGCTGTACTGCACCTGCTCAGCCTTCCAGGAATCTTCCACAGGCGCCCTGGAAGAACTCAATTAGGAAGCACAGATGAAGACTATGGATTACATGCTTCTCTTCAGCTCCAGGGATGCTTCCTTGTTCACAACAAAAATTACACTTGCTTCCTTTCTTTCTGTCCTTTCAGGCTCACCCCAACAGATTTATAAAGATATCGTCTAAGTTTAAGATGTACAAGGTGATAATTTTCATACAGGTGTATGTTGTAAAACCTTTCCCACAGTAAGATTAAGGAACACATTCTTCCCCTCACATAATTAGCATTTTCTTGTTGTTGTCACGGTGAGAACATTAATAATCTACTCTCCTAGCAACTTTCAAGTATACAAGAGAGTATTGTGAACCACAGTTTCCATGCTGTACCTTAGGTCTTCATAACTTACTCATCTAACAACTCAAAGTTTGTAACCTTGGATGAGCATCTCCTCATTTCCCACCACTCCCAGCCCCTCATGCCCATTTTTGTTTTTATAGTCCAATGGTATTAGACCTAGTCCCTTAAAGAAAAGAAAAATCAAAAGAGGCAAATTCTGCTTCCAGAGAGCCACAGTTTTACTGGTCATGGTGTTTTGCTCAGTTAAAACACTGAGTACTAGCGAAGGAGTAAGTGTGGGTAATTGGGCCCCACCCTCCCGACTTATTGCTCTAATTCCAGGGCAGGGGAAGAAAATGGAAATGAAAGAGATCAGGATACATCTTTCTTCATGCATTGTTCCCCTTTAGAACACCCTGAGACATTCAACCTGTTAAGTCCAGAATTAGTCTTAAATTCATGACTTGTGAAGTGATCAGTTTGTATGACCTTTGCTAATGCTCATTCTAAAAGTAAATAAATAAATAAAGACTGTAGGGACTGTCAATACAATTTTGGGCTAGTAGGCTTTAAAGAACTTCAGACAACAGTAATAAGAGATAAAGGCAACATGAAATGTTTTATTGCAAAAATACCCGCCAGGTGAGAAATGTGACATCATCTCCAGTTTCAGATAATATTAATTTTTTTTTTTGGGGGGGGTGTTAAACGAAACACAGTTTTTTTTAACGTTACTTCACCTAATTCACCTGGGGATGCAGAGTAATAGGTGTGGTCCTGGTCAGACCATTAAAGATATAAGTTCACAAGTGTGTGTTTCTGTGAGTGTGTGCATGTCTGTGTGTAGGGAAACTACCAAGGCAGGTGGTATGAGGGAATTTAGAAACATATAGATCTTGTAATTTATCTTCTCACCTTGCATAAAGGGCATGTATCTTTTTCAGGGCCCAAATCTAACAATCTGTGTGCATGTGTGGACTGAGCTCCTCAAGGGGACATCACCTGTAGCCCAGAGCAGGGAGTCCCTGGGGAGCGAACCGAGCTGTGACTAGGCCCGGGCAGCAGAGGGCGCATCCATGACCAAGGGGTTCTCCTCCTCAAGGGCATCATTCTTCTTGGCCACAGTGACAGAAGCAGGTGTTTCAGTGGGGCTCTTCCTGATTTTGCCTTCTCCTCCGTTGGAATCCTGTCCTTGGGCACCAGGCACTTGCTGCGGGCGGTGGCGCCGGTTATTGGGACGGCAGGATGCATAGCGTGGACGGGGCCTCTGTGGCAGATTGCCGCTGGCTTCATGCCCGCTCTCACTGTGCTCTGCCTCCAGCTCCTCTGAGATGCCTGGTGAGCGTCTTGGACCAGGACTGGTGCCTCGGCCCCTAGGGCGACTCAGCAGGTAGCTGGGACCCCGACCCCGCCGAGGATGCCCCTCCTGCCTTGTGGTGGGGGCGGGCCCAGGCTGCCTGTGGGACGGGGGGCCACTGGTGGTAGCCAGGATCAATGGGTGGCGGGTCACGGATGGGGCCCTGCGGGAGGGCAGGAAACGCCTCAGTCGTTGGTCTTGGGAGTGGACAGACGGAGGGCGACTGAGGCCCTGGGCCACGGTGAAGCCTTCGTCGCTGCCCTCGCGTTCATCAGCCTCTCCCTCCGTGCTCTTGGGACCTCGTGGGGGCGGCGCATGGCGGGGGATGTTGAAGCCCTGGCGGATGTTGGTGCGGTGGGCAGTGTAGCGGCTTCCTTTCAGTGGCGTGCCCACTGGCCCAGTCACGTTAGCCGCCTCAGTGCCCCGCTTGCCCTGCACCACGTCGAACTCCACCGTCTGGCCATGGTCCATGCTGCACTCGTACTTGCATGGGTTTTTCCAGGTGATGGCTGTATGGTGAACGAACACATCTTCCTGGGTATCGTGCCTGCTGATGAAGCCGTACCCTTTCTTCACGTTAAACCACACGACAGAGCCTAGGACCCTCTTAGCGATGACCTTCTTAGGCACCTTTCCCTTAGCGCCCCCGGCGGTGGCCTTGGGGATCCCATCCCCGCTGAGGTGGCCTGTGTCTAGGGCTAGGGTCGAGTTTCCGCCTCCCAAGGATGCCAGGGGTTTCCACGGGGCTTGAGGGGAGAAGGCAGCGGCCATGTCCCTGAGGGTGGCCTCTCCCGCCTCACTCATCAGGTCGTCCTTGCTTTCATTTCTCAGAGAGTCGGAGGGAAATTTGTCCTTCTGAGGTTGGAAGGCTGGGAGGGGGGTGGGGCTGGAGGCAGGAGCCTCTCTCTGGGAGGTTTGTCGGTTAGGGCCAAGGGCTTTCTGGCTTTAGTCTGAGAGTCTTGCAGAGGCTTGTGGCATCTCCTGGGACGACGGGGACACGGACCAAACAATGGCTGCCATGGTGATGGTGAGCTCTCGAGGGGTGGGGGCGGGGTGGGTCCCCGAGGTAGCTTGAGCTGGGGGAGGGGGCGGCGAGGGGCAGGTCAAATGCACTCAGCCCCAGCCTCCCACCACCACATCATAGTACCTCCTGCTTCATAATGGAGAAGGAGGCACACTTGAAGCTCTAGGGAAGGGCCTGGAGCACCGTCTTGCTTGCTTGAGTGGATGTGAGGAGAGGACCCACGTTCCACCTCTCTTCCTTGGTTGGGGAGATTAACAGCCTTCTAAGGGCATTTGCTCAATATTCTCTCACAAGTCTCTGGCCCTCTTCTGAATCTTGGGGAACCCATTGTGTGGGTCAGGCATTTTGTGTCACTTGAGGCCAGATGAAAGCCACGTGATTTGAAGACCCAACCAAAGAAACCTGCTGTGGGTTTTGTCTGTTTTGTTTGTGTTTCCCTTCTGAAGGCTGCCAGGCCTAGAATGCTAGTGCTGAGAGGACACTAACGTAGCACATGTTTATCCAGACTAGTGTTAAGATTGTGTTGACCTAAAACAAATAGACTGCAGGGATTGCTCCACCAAAAATGAGTTTACTTTAGATCAACAGAGAATTGCAATTCATGGTCTACAACCATGGTGACCCCCACGCAAGCTTCCCTAACCGGGACAAGATAGCTCTTTGAAAGATAGAGGAGGTTAGGAAGGCTGCACTAAGCAAAGTGTCCGTGGGAGGCTGGGGCTTTGAGGTATGGTGGCTCTTCATTGGCTGAGCCCTGGAACTCTCATTGGCTGAGCTCTTGGCAGGCAAGAAGAGGAAGTCTTTCTTCTTCTTGCTGGGCTCTGCTGTCATGTCTGAGAGTCCTCCCTTCTGGCCTCCCAACTCTATCTTAATGGAAGTTTCTCTTTATTAATTTTTACACTTCTCCCCTTTGACTGAGATCTTTCTCTGAAAGCACCCCTGCTCAAGAAACAGATGTTTTCAGTCTCAGAAACCTTTTACCAACTGCTGCCCACCCTCCTTCCCCGCCTCCCCACACCCCCGCCCCCGTGCCAGGAATGACCTCTCCTGGGCATTGTATCCCATGTTAGAGTGAAAGTGCAGAACTGGGAGGTGTATTGAAGTCACATTAGAGTAACAAGGAGGGGTCAGAGCGAGAACTCTCAGGCACTTTTTCTCTAAAGTTCATGTTTTCAAGATCATAAACACTGGAGATCATCTGAAGCATCATGCTGCCATCAGAAGTTTGGCAGACAAACTTTCAAGAGATGTACTCTGAATATCCTGGGAAGGCTATCTTATCAGATATCATCTCTACTTCAACTTTAGAAAACCTCGACTTTCAGATCACTAGGTAATGTGCAGGTCCCGTCAGGATTGGTGCCTTTTTAAAGTGTGTCATGTGAATCCAAGAGTCTATTCCCTGGGGATTGGTGGCACAAGGGCTGGCTAGCAGTACCTGATAGAGAACTTTCCAGCAAGGTAGAGGTGAGTCCTTATGGAAGTGTTTCTGCCAGTAGATGTAATGTCCCTGTTGCAAGGTGTGTTGAAATCTCAGAGGAACTCTCCTCTTATCAGTGGTGGGTCAAAAGAGACAGGAGTCAAGTGACTATCCTGTGACTGTCTCAAAGGGCGAGTGAGAGTTTATCCATTGCAAACAGAGTGGATGTGTGATTCAGAAGGACCAAAAGGCAATGCTTTTGGCCAAGGTAGTTGGAGGCCCTCCACAGATCTTGCCAACTGTGTCTTAATAATGTCCTGAGTGCATTTGACTAAACCAGAGGAGTGAGGCTGGTCAGCGCCATGAAAGTGTTGTAAAACTAGCCAAACAGTGCAGACTTGTGGAAGTAACTGACCACTAAAATGGGGGCCTCAATCATTCTGAAGTTTGAGAGTAGTTCCCAGATAGGAATAATCTTTCCCAAAAGGATGTTAGCCACAGAAGAGGCAGTAGCCTGTCCACAAAGAAAGGTTTCAGTCCAATGTGAACACATACCGACCATGACTAAAACACATCCACGAGGTGGAGGAAGTTGTAAGGAATCCTATTTCCAGTGCCTGAATGCTCCATTGAGGCAGTTGAAACTGTCCAGGAGGAGTATAGCCGGTCTTCTCTGGGATGTACTTTGGCAATGTGATTTCAAAGATGATATACAGCTAATAATAGCTAAGTTGACACAAGCATGATACACACCATACACCGTAAGGGAACTACAGATGAAATGAAAAAGATAGCACCACACACCTGTTGGAAAAGACCTTGAAGCTGGGAAAGACTGAAGGCAACAGGAGAAGAGGGCCACAGAGGATGAGATGGGTAGATAGCATGACCGACTCAGTGGACAGGAATCTGAGCAAACTCTGGGAGATAGTGAAGGACAGGGAAGCCTGGCATGCTGCATTACATGGGGTCACAAAGAGTTGGACATAATTTAGCCACTGGGCAACAAGAACACATACCTACTAGGACTGCTCCCTCCCCCCCCCCCACCCCTCACCCACAAATGCAAACACCAAATACTGGAGGATGGGGAACAACACCAGCTTTAACTCATTGCTGAAAGAACACATTTACTGCCTCTAGAGAAAGAGGTTGTCAGTATTTCCCGAAGCTAAGCAAGTCTCACACCTTGAGATCCATCAAGGTAGGCACTTTTTGGTCCCTTGTTCATGTTTCCCCACCAACAGGGGTTCACAAATGTGATCATTCCATCAGTAGGCCGGTAGTTTAATGCACATTACAGTGGCTACGAGGGGGAATTTTAGTCTCCAGTAAAGCTGCACTGCTATTCGGTCTGACTCCGATCTTTCTCTTTTAATCAAACCAACAATTGTTTAACCCCCCAGTCTTGCTTTCCCTTCTCTGAGGCTAAGTTTCAGGCCTCTCTAGCCAGTTTTTCCAAGTTATAATTTGGGAAACATCTCTGTGCATCATGACAGAGGTTTGGCTACTGTCAGTTACTTTAAGAGCAGCATTCCTTGCAGAAGTATCAGCAAGGAGATTTGACTTGCCATTGCCTCCAGAGCATCAAGTTTAGAATGCCTCGGTAAGGATTGCATCCACTAATCCCTGAACAAAAGCCGTCTTACATTTTGCTTCCACTGGCAGTTAGGAAGTCGTGTTGCTTCTACACCATTCCAAAGCCATGAGCTACTCGGAAAGTGTATCTATTATAAATTTAAATATTGTTAGTTTTGCCCTACAGAAGACTCTTGAGACTCCCCTGGGCTCCAAGGAGAACAAGCCAATCAATCTTAAAGGAAATCCAGCCTGAATATTCATGGGAAGGATTGATGCTGAAGCTGAAGATCCAGTACTTTGGCCACCTGATGTGAAAAGACCCTGATGCTGGGAAAGATTTAAGACGAAAGGAGAAGGGTGTGGCAGAGGATGAGACGGTTAGATGGCATCAGTGACTCAATGGACATGGACTTGAGCAAACTCCGAGTGATAGTGAAGGATACAGAAGCCTGGCATGCTGGAGTCCACGGGGCTGCAAAGAGGCAGACATGACCTAGCGACTGAGCAGAGCAGAAAGTTCAAGCCTGCGTGCTTGCTAAGTCACTTCGGTCATGTCTGACTCTTTGGGACCCCGTGGGTTCTAGCCCTCCAGGCTCCTCCGTCCATGGGATTCTCCAGGCAAGAACACTGGAGTGGGTTTCCATGCCCTCCTCCCAAGCCTGGGTAAGAACAGAGAACTCATGCTTCTCTTTTAAGATGGTGGAGTAGAAGGATATGTGCTCTTCTCCTCCTGAGAGAGCACCAAAACTGCAGCTCGCTGTTAAACAACCATTGACAGGAAGATGCTGGAGCTCACCAAAAATAGATACCTCTTGTCCAAAGACAAACAAGAAACCACAATGAGGCAGGAAAATCAAAACATGGTAAAGTCAAATGCCATACCAGCCAGGAGCGTGAACCACAACCTGGAGAAGAATAATTCCAAAGACGTTCTCCCACTGGTGTGAAGGTTGAGAGCCCCACATCAGGTTTCCCAGTCTGGGAATCTGGCACAGGGACTGGAATCCTCAGTGAATCTGCCATTGACCACCAGTGGGATTTGATTACAAGCTTTCCAGAGCACTGGGGAAAACAAAGATGCCACTCTTGGAGGGCACAGACAAAATTGTGCAAGCCCTAAGGCTCATGGGAAAGGAGTTGTGACAGCACAAGAGACTGAAGCAGACAGACCTACCTGCTAGTGTTGCAGATGTGGGTTGGCAGTGGCTCACTGCAGGGACAGGGGTGCTGGCAACAGCAGTCCTGGAAGCTTCCCTTTGGCATAAGCTCTCTTGGAGGTTGCCATTACCTCTACCATAGAGCCCAAAGAGCCTCAGGGCTGGGTCGCCTTAGGCCAAACATCTAACAGGGAGGAAGCACAGCCCCACTCATCAGCAGATAGTTCGAGTTTTACTGTGCACAGACCTGCCCACCAGAGCAAGAATGAAGTTTTCACACTACCAGTCCCTCCCATCAGGAAGCTTACACAAGCCTCGTAACCTCATCTACCTGAGGGAAGGCAGAAGAAGCAAGGAGAACCACAATCCCACAGCAGCAAGGAGAACCACAATCCCACAGCAGCCCAAACAGCAACTGCATTACAGAAAGTTAATCAGAACGAGTGATTGACTAGCAACAATGCCTAAATCCTGGTATCTGCTCAGTCACTCAGTTGGGTCCGACTCTTTTGGGATCCCTCAGACTGCGGCACGCCAGGCTTCTGTGTACTTCACCATCTCCCGGAGTTTGCTCAAACCCATGTCCATTGAGTCGGTGATGCCATCCAACCATCTCGTCCTC